CCGGATTGGAGCCTCTGCCTTGCTTCTCCCCAAAGCCTGGGGCTGCCAGCACAGGGAATCTGGAGGCTGGGCCCCTAGCTGCGGAGGAGGAGATCCTGCCCGCCGGCGCCCTGCCCTCAGCCCTTGAGGGACTAAGGTGTCCCTCCCATCCGCAGATTGGGTCCCTCATACCTTGCCACCTTGCAGGGGACTGAGTCTGGCTGGGGCAGGGTCTGGAAAGACACCTCCACACCAAGCTGTGAAGCTCATGTGGTGGGGAGGAGCCTTGGATTCCCTGCAGGGCTGTGGTCCTGATCTAGGGGCAGCCCTCCAACCTCCCCCCACCCCCCAGCCAGAACAAAGGGCTCTGCCTGGTCTGGGCTCTAAAACTGGCCCCTTGTCCTCTGTCCCCCCTCTAGCCCCCATAGGCTATGACTAGGCAGGGTCTCTTCCTCTTCCAGTTCCTCTATGGCTGAGGGTAACTGAGGGGAAAGATGAGGGAAAAGTGAGCCTCCTGGAAGGTGGGGGCCCTGGGTGCTTAGGAAGAACTCCAGGCCAGCCACCTCCCCCGCCACATCCTCCCATCCTCCCTCCCTCCCTCCGTGGAGTCTTGACTGCCTCCCCCTGGCTCCACAGACAGCATGATCCGCGTTGGAACCAATTACCAGGCCGTAATTCCGGAGTGCAAGCCTGGTGAGTGGCAGGACAGGCTGCACAGGGAGGGGAGCAGAGGGCCCATGGCTTGGCCCTGAGCCCCACCTGGGGGAGCCCTTGGCTGGCGCCCACTGGAAGGACAGGCCAGGCGGGCAGGCGGGGGTGGGTGGCCCCATGGCATGGTTAGTTTTTCTGCTCTGCCTTCCTGTCTAGGTCTCTGCCCCTCCTCCCCTCTGGGCCTCACCTCACAGGCCCCTCTCCTCTGCCGCCCTCTGGCCATGGGTCCAGGCCAGCGCCACTAGGCTGATCTGTCTTTCCTCCTCTGCTCCTCTGCCTTTCAGAGAGCCCTGCACGTTACAGCAACAAGGAACTGAAGGGGATGCTGGTGTGGTCGCCCAACCACTGTGTGTCGGATGCCAAGCGTGAGTGGGTGGGACCCTGGGTTCATGCACATCCCTGGGGGCTGGGGTTTATGCCAGTCTGTCTCAGAAGTGGGCTGGAGGCAGAGGTGTGGGTTCAGTCCCTGTCCTAGGGCTCAGGCTTGGCATATCCCCGTCTGGGGGGGCTTGGGTTAGGAGTTGTAATCCCTCATCCAAGACCCGGCCCAATCCACTCCTGCAGTTGACAAGTACATTGCAATGGCCAAGGAGAAGCATGGCTACAATATTGAGCAGGTGAGCCTTGGCACCGGGATTTGGGGTGGGGACCAGACAGTACTGGGGTGGCTAAGCCTGAGTTGTCCCCTCTCCTGGGCCAGGCACTGGGCATGCTCCTGTGGCATAAGCACGACGTGGAAAAGTCGCTGGCTGACCTGGCCAACTTCACACCGTTCCCCGACGAGTGGACCGTAGAGGACAAGGTGCTGTTTGAACAGGCTTTTGGCTTCCATGGCAAGTGCTTCCAGCGGATCCAGCAGATGGTAAAGCCCTCCACCCCCGCCATCGCTCCTCAGTCCCTCCTTTCTGATGAGCCTGCCCGGGGCCCAGACTCTTGGGTGGCCCCAGCCTCTGGCGTTGCCCCTCCAGCTGCCCGACAAGCTGATCCCCAGCCTGGTGAAGTATTACTACTCTTGGAAGAAGACCCGCAGTCGGACCAGTGTGATGGACAGACAGGCTCGGCGGCTGGGGGGCCGAAAGGACAAAGAAGAGAGGTGGGGGTCCAGGGATGAGCCATGGGGGGTGGGAGGAAGCTGAGGCCCCTGCCTCAATCCTTCCCTGGCTCCTGTCAGCAGTGATGAGCTTGAAGAGGGACGAGGAGCCATGAGTGAGGGAGAGCCAGATGCTGGAGACCCCAAGAGAGAGGTGAGGTCCCAGAGCTGGTCTGGCCCACTTGCCTGCCCTCTCCTTGGGCTCTGCACCACCCTCTTCCTCTCCTTTCTCTGGCAGCCTCTGCCCTCTCGGCCCCTGAATGCCCGCCCAGGTCCGGGGAAGAAGGAGGCCCAGGGGTCTCAGTATCGTCACCACCCACTGAGAACCCGGCGGCGCCCACCCAAGGGCATGTACCTGAGCCCCGAGGGCCTCACTGCAGTGTCGGGAAGCCCAGACCTTGCCAACCTCACCCTTCGAGGCCTTGACTCCCAGCTCATCTCCCTCAAGCGCCAGGTGGGGGCCTGAGAAAAGAAGGGGCCATGCAGACAGAGCAGTTGGCAACTGGGAATTATGACTTAGGGCAGCTGAGGTGTAAGGGAGAGGTGCAGGTGCCAAGCCTGCCTCTGCCCCTGCCCTGCCTTCTGGGTAACTTGGCAGTCTTTTCTGGGCCTTTAAAAAAACTGGTCTGTGAAAAGGAGTGAAGCACAGCACCTCCCCTACTGAGTGGTTGTGGAGGCGGAATGAGCTAGGTGGTGGGTAGCAAAGAGCTTTGCTGGAAAGTGGCACTGGTGTCTGCAGAAGTAGAGCCCAGGTGAGGGCTGGGATTGACAGCCTCCCTGGCATGAAGTTTGATATTCCTTCATTTCCTGGCCTTCCAGGTGCAAAGCATGAAGCAGACCAATAGCAGCCTCCGGCAAGCCCTGGAGGGCGGCATTGATCCCCTCCGTCCCCCTGAGGTGAGGCTGCTCTTCTTGTTGGGCTGCAGGAAGGGGTTCTCTCTGGAGGCAGAGCAGAAAGGGGCATTCTGCTTGGAGAGCAGGGCCTCTGTTTATGTTTTCGAGTGTAAGGGGTATATTCCTTGCTCTCCAGGCCAACACCAAGTTCAACTCCCGCTGGACTACAGACGAACAGCTTCTGGCTGTACAAGGTGGGTTAGGCTATGAGGAGAACAGAGGGCCCCAGGAATCTCCCCCCTCCAAGGAGCTGGGCAGAGAGGCAGGCTCAGGAAGCTGCTGGTTCTGTGGTGTTCACACTGTGCTGCCCTCTGACTCTTGCAGCTATCCGTAGGTATGGCAAAGACTTCGGGGCTATTGCAGAGGTGATTGGGAACAAGACTCTGACCCAGGTGAAGACCTTCTTTGTGAGTTACCGGCGCCGCTTCAATCTGGAGGAGGTGCTGCAGGAATGGGAGGCTGAGCAGGATGGGACCCCTGGAGCCCCGGTCCCCATGGAGGAGGCCAGGAGAGGGGCTCCCTTGCCAGCCCCTGCCCTAGAGGAAGATGATGAGGTGAGAGGGGGAGAGAGGAACCCTTTAGAGAGGAGAGGAACTGCTCACATCCCTGGGCTGGGCTGGGGGCATGGCGGAGCCTGGTTTCTCACTCTTCTTTTTTCCTCTCAGGTCCAGATTACATCCGTCTCAACATCTGTGCCCCGATCCGTGCCCCCTGCG